AACCAGCAAAACAGAACAGAAAAAAAAATAAATTGGTTTAGGAGTGGTGAGATACCACTGAGCATTCTTTGCTGACTCTTAAATTGGATGAAAATCTCATCCACTGTGAACTGTCACCATTCAACTCATTCAGTTGATAGTATGAAACATTCTAGGTCTTATTCTGTGGTGCATTGTACCCCAGCTGTGCACATGTGCCAGCGCTTTGTGTAAAAACTGAAAACACTTATCAACTCGAAAGTGGTGCCTATGAGCACGCTCCTGGCCTTGCTCCTGTGGAGCCATGTAGGATACTTTCCACTCGGTCCTGGTTATGGAGATGGGAGGTTTCTTCATCCGATGTTGGGAAGGAGACTCTTTGCAAAGGTGATGCCTTAGAGGTCTTCAGGATTTTGGCTATGTGGGAGCAGTAGTGCACTGATCTACAATGCAACTGAAACAGCAAGTGGGTGCACAGTCCTTCCACTTGGTAGGAATTAATAGAAGTTTGGTATGCTGCATAACTCCATTCCTCAGTCAGTCACTTGCCTACTTGTTTTGATCAATACAAAATAATGGTAAAAAATGTACACACTTTAATAGAGATCTGTATTCCTTCTTGAGAGTGCAGAAGGATCATTAAAAAAATCAATGACAATGTTGTTGTTTGTTATTAAATCTGTAAAGGTTTTGAGTAATTCTCAAGGAATTCTATTACAGATTTATCAAGACATTGATTTTTATCTTATTATTTGTAGAGCACTTTTCCCAGAGGTCAGGTAGTTTGGGACATTGGTAAGGTATAATTTTCTGAGCCATGTATGTATCTCAGATCTTATGACTCAATATCCCTTTTGAAATGTTCTTTTAATTACGAGTAAAACTAATACACATAGTCTTACAGGAAAACAGATTTATCTTGCATTTACCTAAAACCTAAGAGTGTTTTCTAAATTTTCTTCTTACCCATCCACTTGAATATTTTCCTTAGGATATTTCATGCCAGTAGTGCAGAAATTGTGCAGTCCCTTCTAGAGACCATGCACAGAAACATTCCTAAGTCACTAATTTGCTATTAAATGAGTACAACAGTTGTGGCAGGAGTTTTACTAAATTGTTTCCCTAAAACATGGGAAACACAGGTTAAGTCCCTGCTTGAGTATAAATGCAACAGATCAGGGGTCTCTGCCATTACAGATCAGCTCTTTCCGTGCAGCCTCATGCAGTTTTATTCTGGGAAGCTGTCCTGGGTTCAGCAGTAGCAGTCATTTTTCTCTCTCTTAGTAGCTGGCGCACTGCTGTGGTTTTGACTTTCAGCCTGGGAACAGCACTGATAACACCAATGTTTTTAGTTGCTGCTCAGTAATGTTTACTCTGAAGAAGGACTTCGTGAGTCTCATGCTCTGCCAGAGAGGAGGGGAAGCCAGGAGGAAGCAGAGACAGGACACCTGACCCAAACTAACCAAAGAGGTATTCCATACCACAGCACGTCATGCCCAGTGTATAAGCTGGGGGCAGTTACCTGGAAGGGCGAGTTCACTGCTGGGGTCGGGCTGGGTATCGGTTGGTGGGTGGTGAGCGGTTGTATTCTCTTCCCTTGTTATTTCCCCTTATCATTATTATTGGTGGCAGCAGCAGTGATTTGTGTTATACCTTAGTTACTGAACTGTTCTTATCTCAACCAGTGGGAGTTACATTCTTTCAATTCTCCTCCCCATGCCTCTGGGAGCAGTGAGCAAAGGCGGAGTGGGGGGAGAGAGCGAGCGGCTGCATGGTTCTGAGTTGCTGGCTGGGCTTAAACTACAACAGAAGCTTTTATTTCAAGCTACAAAAAGCATGTTAAGGGCAGGACAAGATGTACTGAGTATATGGAGTTGACTCAAATATTCAGTAGTGCTTAAATACACCACTGAATTTTTCTCCTGTCCTGTTCTGGTGTTTTGCTTGCAGGTTTCCAAGATTTAGTTGTAGTCCTTCAGGTGCTGGCTACCAACTAGAGAGCATGGTACTGAGCTGGTAGATTAGGGTTTGTCGCCATCCTGAAGCACTCTGAGATATTCGTTGCAGGAGAAACCAACCCATGTTTTCTAGTGATACTGGAGGTGAAAGTTTAATTTCAGCCCATTTCTGGAAGATCCCAATACTTATTTTTCTGATTTGATTTTGGAGATGATGTCTTATGGAGCAGTGGACTTTGGATGCAAGTCACGAACAGTAGGTTCAGAATTAGGAAAATATATATTACAGTTGGGTCAATGGTACACAAAGCTAATACAAGGAGACAGATTGACCCCACTCCTAATCTTCTTTTTTATTTTAAAACATCTGTTTACATGCTGTCTATTTTTATCCCACAGCGGATGGATTGCTATGCTAATTTAACGATGCCATATGTTTTTCCTCTGACTCAATTTCATTGTGTGGAGTGCCAGATTGCATCAATTTACCCACCTATTTCAGTGAGAGAAATTGTTGGCTATGGTGCAAGGAACTTTTTTCTCTCTTTCAATGGAATATGTATTTACTGTCATTTCTAACTGCAAATTCAAAAGGAGCCATGTGATCATGCAATATAGAGAGATGGTTTAGTATCTATAAGAGCTTGCTGCTTCTGTGTTTCCACCCTCTTCTGCAGTGCTAGTACAGGCTGTAAAGCCAAGCAAAGGGACAAAGTAGATATTCTGAGATTTGCATCTTCAATGGATTTGCACTATAATTTAGCTCTGAGCTTCTCAGTGTGCAACCAGCATTTTCAAGTCCTCTTTCTGATTGATCTGCTTTATCCAGGTTTCAGATTTGTATAGTTTGAAAACCTCAACAACCTTCATAGAAAAAGAAAAAACTCTTTTGTAACTAAACTTGACTGGGATTACAGTTTTGGAAGGTTGCAGAAGAATACTGAATTTAGCTGTCTCAGTAAGCAAAATCTCTGATGTTGCTCATTGCAGGCTAAAACCAGATAACTAGAAAGACTTAGGAAAAGTATTCAGCACTACTGATAGTGGTGAATATCCTGCCATTTGAATATGCTTTTGTAAGACTGATATAACTCTCTGAAGAGAATGGCCATGGTGCCCTTTTATCCGAAGGACTGTCAGGTTTAGAAAAGTGTAAAACCAAGGAGGGATTTTGGCTGACAGGAGCCTGTAAACTGGCAAAAGGGGTGGAACAACAGTTGCTTGTTTTCCTGGCACCTCTCGTGATAAACCTTTTCCATGTTCTCTGCTAAGAATACTTGGCTGCGTCACTCCATGTGCTTTTCCTTCTGAACAGATGAGAAAATACAACTTTTGTTGGTTGCAATAAGGAAAAAAAAAAGACAAGAGAAAAAAGACAAAAGACTTTGTGTATGAGTGTGTAGATATGAACTCGTATATTTATCCTTGTGCAGATTATCTGTTTGCCAAGCAAAACCAAAAGTATACTGGGATAGCAATGCTATAAAAATGTTGTGGGAGGGTGGTGATCCTCACTGGTCATTGCTCTCATGCTCCTGAGGACCCACCACTGTCCATCAGGAGCGGGTTCACGCAGTGGGATGGGTGCCTGAGTCACTGCCCTATGAGTCTGTCGTCACACTGTGCTCTTGTGGGATCCTCAGTCATGGCAGCACCAAAGGTCAGATTTCGGCTGTCGTGCTAGTACTTAGGACATGTGTCTATTGATTTGTGATTGTTTGCACAAAGGTGTCTTTAGGCGTTTTGGAATTAACTCAGTTTTGGAAGAGAATGAAGGATAGAAGGGTGCTTAAATACAGCCAAGTGAAACAAGGTGCCTGGGATAGTTAGTAATGTGATGTTTCTTTTGATAATCTTTGAAGGGGTATTGTCTGAACTGGGAAAGGGTATCTAGCTCAGTTTTAAGCTACAGAGTTTGAAAACTAGATAGAGAAAATCCATACGCTATGGCAGATGTAATTTGTGATCAGAATTAAATAGATCAGGATTTAATTTTGTAGTAGAGTGCTTTTTTTAAATTACCTTTCCTGATTTGTAAGCCCTTAGATAAACCTTTTGTTTAATCACTATACACATGTGTGTGTGTGTTTCCATAAATAGGTGTGTATATATAGTGATATACATTTCTGCAAAAATAAATAAATAAAGCCAAAGGAAAGTATGTTTCTCTTCTGGCAAGTTGTTAAGGCGCTACGGAGAGAGAAAGAATATGGTTAAGAGCAATATGAAAACTAAGTACTATTTGCTGCTACACAGCTACTCAATAGTTATGCGGTTTATTTCGGCGAATAGAAGACTATGTTTCTGCAATGCAAGACAACTTGGGGGCTTCAGGTATCTTCATTGCCCTTCAGCTCAGGTATTGAAAATTGTAATGTTTCTCTTCATTATTTTAATATTGGAGTTGTGTATCATTTTTACCCTTGCAGCATTGCAAGCTGTTTGTGACTTCACTAGCAGACTGAATCTCACAGGTTTAAGGAAGGAAACCTTCCCCACTCACCAACCCCAGGATGCCCAATCCCAGTAAACTGTTGTGATTCACAGTTACCTCTTAGAAGTTTTGCTCTCTGAGCTTATCTGTACCTTTCTGAAAGGAAATTAAAGGAAAAAATTGTGCTCTGAAACCAATAAGGTGGACTGATAATAGCCAGTTTAGATGAAACTGCCTTCTCTGGAGGTCTGGAGAGGTTAATTGCAAAATTAGTTGTGTTGAGCTCAGCCTAATATCAGCTGTACCATATCATTTATTTTCATTCCTTATTGGCATATATCTAATTAATGCTTTCAGCTTATAACTCTCTTTTATATTAATCTCTGTTTTACATATATCTTACCTAGCTTTATACCTCACAGCAGCAGAGTAATCGACTTGCAAGCTGTAGCTGGTTAGGTAAAATGTGCAATGGACTTCCTTCCTTTCCATGACCATCCCATGTGGATAGAGATGTGAATGTGTGCTGGATGTTGAAAAAGATATAAACAAATACTTGTTTTCCAGGCTGCAGTAGTTCCTGTGCATTACGAACTGAACTTCAGATTCCTACCTGTCTCCTTCTCCAGGGTTTGATACCTATTTCACCTCCCGCACCTTGGAGAACAACAGGAGGAACGTGTGGTTTGCAGAGTACTGGGAGGAGAACTTCAACTGCAAGTTAACCATCAGCGGGTCAAAGAAGGAAGACACAGACCGTAAATGCACAGGTAACTTAATTTGTTTCACCTTCCTTGTGCTGGTGGACGTGAGCTGCAGTGGAGTGGCTGCATGTTTGATGGAAGGAAGCTTGGCTGGAGACAGATTGGAGAAATAAATTGTGGTTTTGTAGGTTGTAGAGAAAAGAGAACAGCAGCATCTGCCTTGCACTACAAAAGAAGTAGATTAGACGCAACAAAAAATACGTTCTTCTATTTCTTCTTTTTTTTTTCTGGCTGTCTATCCAGCAGGAAAATCAGTATTTTCTGTGGGACCCAGATGTGCTTTTGATTGAGTACAAGGTGGCTTGAACAGGTTTTTTATTAGTTTGGTTTAGATGGGAGAATATTTCCACATCTTGTGCCTTGTCACCTACTTGCAATTCGCATATTGGCCACCTCCTGTGTCTGCTCACGGTCCTGTACTAAGCATGTGCCTTTGAATTGAACTTTTGGAGGAAGTGCACCTGTAGGAAAGTAGTAGTACAGGGTGAAATGTTTTCGTTTTAGGTAGCATAAAGTTGTTACTCAGATTCTTGTTCTCAGTAATGTTGTTTAAGAGATTGGGGTTAAATAATTCCTTTTGCAACCTCAATTAGGTAAATTTCAGTCTGTAGTTGTGACTGAGGTTCATGACTTTTAGTAGTGTTTTGTTTGGCCTCTCATTTTCTGGTGCCTGACAGATTCACTCCTTTTTTCCTTGTATGAGGTACTGACACCATTTGAAAGATCATATTTTTCCAGGAATTCCTGTTTCTGATCACATGAAGACTCAGGGATTTATTTTTAGTACAGAGATGCCCAAGGGTGATTTCATTTTTAACTGAGTTACCCAATTCTCAGCACAACCATCTTAATGGCACTGATGTGTTCCTGGAGTTATCCAGGACTGAACAAGTGCTACCACAGGGATAACAGCAGCAGTGCCAGTTTAATGATCTTGTGCTGATTGAAGATACTGAGGGTACTTGCCTAGAAAAGTACTTCTAAAACTTCATAATATGATGAGTCTGCCCTCAGACTGCCAGGTCCTCGATGAGCTGGTGTTTGTGACGTGAATGACTGTAGTGCAGAGTTGGGCATTTGCTCAGGGCTTAAAAGGCAGCAGAGAAGCTTTGACCAGAACATATACCCCATGATAGAGATGGTAAGGCCAATAACGCTGTCTGACATCTGCCTTGCCTTTGCCTTCCCTTGCCTTTCCTTCCCTCTCATTTTAATTATTCATGACAGCAGTTTTAATGTGTTATGTTGAATAATTGCCTTGAATTTTGATCAAAGGAAATTAGTTCATAGGGAGGATATGTTTCACTTTGAAAATTGATGAAAACTTTCCATATTTCATATCATCTGCTTTTGGTTTCAATTCATGGATGGGAGTAGGAGTGTTGTTCATAGAAACAGTGCAGTTACCACTGGGAATACACTGCTGTTAAATTTGGCATTTGGAATCTCCCCCAAAGGCTGGAATTGAACTAAAAATTGCTACAAGATCTTCGGGATAATTTCTAGAAGTGTGTTCTCACCCTTATTGTTTATGCCATTATTTTATTACAGTTGCTCACAGTCTATGCTTTCTGATGTGAGCATAAAATGGCGTTCTGCTTCCCTCAGCAAAGCCTCAGCAGAAACAGTTGTTTTCATTGGCTAACTTACCCTATTGAACTGAAATGCCGCATTATAGCTCGATATTGTACCAAATGACATGCCCTGACATCTTCCTTCCCTCTTCTACAAACTGAAGTAAATTGTGCATCAGAAAAAGCATTAGCTTTGAATTATATTGCTAGCATGAGAGTTGTAATGTCTCACTGATGTAATAATATTATGAAGGTTCATCATCATTATTCTAAAATTTGATTAGTAATTTGTAATGAAGCAAGGTAGTAGGCTACAGGCCATCGGTTCCTGCAGCAGTCGAGCTCCTGAGCACCGGCGTGAGGTGTGGGAGCTCCTACTCTAAATTAATCTGCTTGCACATAGCAGGGAGCTCAGTGTTCATGGAACACAGACTGCGACCATGAAGAGAAGCTTCTCCAAGAAGGACCCTGCAGGCAGCTTACCTTTTTGTATTACAACTTTCTGAAATATCTCTACATGCACAACTTTTGCCTTAATGACATTTGTGTTTATTTAAGCATAAAAATTTTCCCTAGCTGGGGAAAAATGTTCTTTTCCAGGAAAGGATTAACAGAATAAAACAACTATCTTTGCAGAAGAAAACAGCACTCTGTTTCATAGCTGCGATTTTGCAAAGGAATCCATGCTGAATGCTCTGCCCACATTACGTTACATGCAGAGATGGGATCTGGGCTTTGTGAGCTCAACTGAAAATACTTTCCTGTACAAAACCATATTGTAATAACATTACCAGTGCCATGAGATTTAGGGATACGGGATTAACAGATGATAAAACAAGCTTTTTGTGTATATATATCCTCATGAACCAGGATGTTGACAAATTTCAAAGTGGTTATTAACATCAAATGTACAGTGCTGACTATTTAATAATATTATACTGTGCCACCTCTGTGCAGACAACCACAGTGTGCCTGCAGGTCTCTCTGCTAGCAACAGTCATCAGCATAGGTGCTCCTGCCTCCAACAGGAATGTCTCCACCTGACGGTATGGAATATTGACTGTGCCATCAGAATCACCTGCACCCACCTGTGGCAGAAAGAGGCGGATGCCAGAGAGAAATACAAGCACTTGGAATACACAGAGGCATCTGCTATACCCTGAGTGCCTGCATTTTAATGGCAGGTACCACTACCTGCAGAGGAAATTACAACACTTGACTAGTTTCCCTTATTAAACATAGCTTTTAATTCAGACAGCTTTACACTCAAGGAGACTTAATGAAGTGATATGAGGGTGATGTCACCTTGGATGTCATTTATCAGAATGTAGATTACTCAGAGAGCTTTTCTAATTACCTGCAAGCGTAACCAGTCTAAAGGCACAGCCCCGATGATGGCTCAGACAATGACTTGCTCTAGGGTAAATGCTGTGAGAATACTGCCTGCAAGATGAAGTGACAGAAGTTTAGCAAAAGGCTTCATAGAAGTGGGACAGTTGTGTTTAGAATTTAAATTGGAACAAGAGAAAATGCCTCAAAGGATCCAGATTCAACTTCCCTGGCAGTGTGTAGGCAGGCTCACTATCAGGACTCTGAATCTTTTTGGTCATTGTGCAGTGAGCAGCATCTCCCCCAGTCTTGTTGTGAGCAAATTCACATGCCATGCTACACACAGAGGAAACTCCTAAACCTGCCCGTCCTGGGGCATCTCTGAGCCCTGGCCTGTGTTGGGTCCTCATGGAAGGCTAGAGGAAGAGAAGGAGGCCTTGGAGGTGGGTGATCCTGGGACGGGGCTTGCTTCATCAGCAGGATTTTTCTGGACGAAGATTTAGTGGCTCAGGGGCCAAATCCCTGTCAAATGTAAGGAGCATCAATTATGAAAGGCTACTTTAAGGACTTTCTATCTGACAGTGTTACAAGGAAGGATTGAAAGACCCAGGTGTCTTGGGTAAAAGTAATAATAATTAAAAAGGCAGCAATTTGAATGTGTGTATATACACACACACTTGCTTCTGAAGCTGAGAATACCTCGTGCCAATGTGTATCAGAGACTTTGCATAAGATCAATAAACGCCTTGCTTATCAGCCTGCTTTGGATAAAACTGTTGTTTACTGAGGAAAGAAGGGATCAGATTTCCATTTAGTAATGAAAAAGGTTAAAGTAGAAAAGGAATAGTTAGGTGTTTACACTTTCCAGTAAAGTTGTGTGGCATTTACCATACGTCTGACAGAATTTCCTGTAAATGCCTTTTCTATAAGGGGATTTACCCTTTGAAGGGGAAGAAGCAATACGCAGTGCTGAGAGCTGCACTTGGTCCGGGTTTTCTCAAAACAAAAAATGTGTCTGAGAAATATATCAATATACCCAAAACGATGGAAGCCCAACTCTGGGTACCTGGTGTCATGGTTTGAGCTCAGCCTGTCAATTCAGCCTTCACTCACTCCCCGCCCTTGCTTACCCCCCACTCCCAGAGGGATGGGGAGGAGAATTGAAAGAATGTAACTCCCACGGTTGAGATAAGAACAGTCCAGTGACTAAGGTAAAGCACAAACCACTGCTGCTGCCACCAATAATAATAATGATAAGGGAAATAACAAGGGAAGAGAATACAACTGTTCACCACCCACCAACCAATACCCAGCCTGACCCCAGCAGTGAACTCGCCCTTCCAGGTAACTGCCCCCAGCTTATACACTGGGCATGACGTGCTGTGGTATGGAATACCTCTTTGGCTAGTTTGGGTCAGGTGTCCTGTCTCTGCTTCCTCCTGGCAGAGCATGAGACTCAGAAAGTCCTTCTTCAGAGTAAATATTACTGAACAGCAACAGAAAACATCGGTGTTATCAGAGCTGTTCCCAGGCCGAAAGTCAAAAGCACAGCAGTGCACCAGCTACTAAGAAGGTGAAAAATGACTGGTACTGCTGAACCCAGGACACCTGGCATGTTACCCTCAGTGTGGCAATGTACTGTGTTTCATGTCCATGGAAAATAGGGATGGGAGAAGACAGAAAATTTTGGAAAACCACTTTATTACCTGTAGTTTGGTTTAAAATTATACCGAAAGCTGGGATTTGGTAGGTTTTGGGGTTGTTTTTTGGGGGGGTGGGTTTTTTTTGAGGATAAGGAAGCTAGTAGCAGTATTCTATCTTTATTTCACCAGCAGTCGAGATGGCTTGTTCTGTGAAGCCATATGTTGGGGGAAGACAAATAATAAACAAAAGATGTAGCAAATAGCAGAGCCGGAGCATATCCAGTTATTATTTATAATTTGACTACAAAGAGTGATCTAGTGCACAAATAGGTTAGCAAAGTGCAATTTACTATGGAAAGGAAAATAGTTCTCAAAAGGCTATCAAAATTCCTCATCTCAGGGAAAAAATAAATTGCCCAAGATGTTTCAAGCAACTTACTGGCAGGTGGCCAACATCTAA